ATTGAAGTATTTAAATTTAATTTTAATTTAAACTTCAGTTTATCAATAAGTTTGTTTGCAAACATTTTAAATAAAACTTATTTATAAAATTAATTCATAGTTTCATTGAGTCTGCTGATGAATTTTAATAAGTCAAGTTCTTAAGCTTGTTTTGTTTATATAACTATCTTTAAAAATATTACTATATGAATTTATTATGTTTTAGACAATATTTGCAATTCAATCATGGTTTTTAAACAATTTAAATTTATTATTGCTTCTAATTATTATTATTTTTATATTTAGATCATTTTTATATAATATGTCAATAATAAATTTAAAATAAAATATATTTTAATATATCTTTAAAAAATATATTTTAAAAATAAACTCTAGCATAATCTCATACACACATTGAATAAACAAGTTTGTGATAACTCAGCTCAATTTTTTAATCATATTGGATGAATATTTTATGAATAAGAGGTAATAATCTTCAATTTTGCAATGATCAAATCTATTTAACTTTCATGGATTTCAAGATCCAGTAAATTTCATTTTACATTCAATGAATATTTAATGTGTTTGAGTGTTTAAACTACAAAAATCAAAGGCTTCTACCACCATAGTCATGAATTCCAAATTTTACATATTTATTCTCTCCTTGATGACACCCCCGCACCTTTGAAGAATGCAATCGACTGTTCCTCTAGACCCCCAAATGTTTGGGCTGATAAAGCTGCTGCAATCATAAGTGCTTCAGCAGGACAAGGTGGTGCACGAGGACAGCTTCATCTTCGCCAAATTGGGGTCTTTCTCGACCTTCACTTCATTAACAAGCCCGAGTTTTTCTTGAACGTATTTCAGCCACCTGCATAGTTTGATAGCCAAGGAAACTTGAATGATGAAAACACAAAGGAAAGGTTGGAGGTGTTAGGTTGGTTGTCATTTTATGTGCAACAAATGGAAGGTATCAACTATTGACCATTGATTATTGGTAGCTACCATTGTTGAATGAGCTGGAGTTGGTGGCCACCAATATTGACAACAAACCAAGAAGAGTCTCCATGAATGCCTATAAATAGAGGCATATATGAGAGAGCAAAATGATAGAAAGAAAAGAGCGTGAAGAGTTTTGTGAGACTGTGAAAAAAGTAAAAAAAAAAAAAGAGCTGCTAGTGCAGCAAATAGAGGGTTAGGAGTGGAGTAGAGTGAAGTTATCATTCTCCTCCATGTATTTGTTTTGTATTATTTCTCTAATCTCTAATAATATAGACTCTCTCCCGTGGATGTAGGCGATTTTCCCGAACCACGTTCAATATTATGTCAGTGTGCTTGGCCTCCTATGAGCAAGTATCAGTACATCACCGGTCGAATTCCCAACAATTGGTATCATATCTCAAGGTTTAAAGTGGTGTTTGATTTTGCTCAAAAATGAAAGTTGTCAAA